TTCCCTCGCCCTGAATTCTCATCTGCCCAACGCCCTCAAGGCCCCCTTCCCAGGGCCCCACGGGCTCCATCTTGGCGACGCGGCGCCATCGCGACGCGCCGCACCGCTGCACCGACACTGGACTTTTGCAGCCCAACGTTCGGACGCCAGGACACGCGCCAGGAATGGGCCCCTGCGCGCCCGAAACGGAGCCCGCACGGCGCCCAGAATGGACGCCTGAACTGGCCGGCCGGGGGCCCAGAGATGCGCCCGCGAAGCACCGCGCTGCGCCCGAAAGAAAAATGCGCCCATAATCAGAACGGCCAAACGGCGCGGGACACCCTCGCGCATGGGCCAATTTTGGCCACAACACAGCTTCGCAAACCGTTTCAGGCGCCACTTTGGGCGCCATCTTGGGGGCGGCGGAAAAATGTTCGAGCGCCGTGGAACAAGAGTCCTTGGGCGCATGACCCCCCGAGATGGACCGGCGGCGGCCGCGTCGGAGAGGGCGCCCGCGAGCTCGATCGGGCACGGGCACAAAGCCCCGAGCCCAGCGACATGAACCCTCGAACCCACGACGCAGGCCCCTCGGGCCAACGACACAAGCCCGCGGGAACAGCATCGCGAGGCCCTGGGATCGCGGCGGAGACCCTGGAGGCAACGACACAGCCTATCGTCACTGTTATCCGATATCACAGCTGCGCGCGGTGTCTGAAGCACGATGGCGCGCGCCGCGCGCCAGACAATCTCTTCGCGCGCACTCCTGGCGCGCGTCGCGACAAGAGGGCTGATTTGGCGCAAACGACTTTGGGGCACGCCCATTCGGGGTCTTGGGCCGCCCGACGACGAAAGCAAAGGACGGGGAGGATGAAGACGCGGCATGAAAGGATGGCGACGAGCACTCCTCCGCCCACGGCTCGCCACGTCAACACGCCCGAGATGTGCTTCTCCAGCGGCTTCGCCCAGGGCGAATGCTCACGCCCGACCCCGCCTCGAAACCCAAGCACGCGGCGCGCTGGCGCGTCGCGACCTCCCCCCAGGCGGGCGGCGCCGTCTGCGGACGAGCTCGGACTACGCCCTCTGGCGCCACTGCAAAGGCACTCACGCGCGCCCCCTCCGGCGTAGCCGGAGGCGTGAGATCCGCCACCTCGCCGAAAGCGCGCTCGAGAGCGGGAGCGCCCCGTGCGCCGCGGGCGCGGGCCACCGCGAGGCCGACGGCGCAGGCGCGCCGGTTGCACTTCGGCACCAGGCAGGGCAGCCGACGCAATAGATCGTCGAGGGCACGGACGGCGAAAGCGATGGTGAAAGAGGGCAACCTCGCCGAACTCCCGCGGCGAGCTCGAAGCCATCGAGCCGCCCGGCGCCCTGGACAATGAGCCGCAAGCAACGGTCATGGCGGCACAGAGCTTCGACCAAGGTGATGCACCACTCCAGCCAGCCACGGGCCACCAACACATCCATGAGAGACTCGGCCTCGAAGTGGGAAAAAAAGCCGCCGCATCCTCGCAATCCAATGGGAAGCGCAGCGAGGTCTCGTCGATGTCCACGGGGTTCGCCAACGTGGAACGGCCCTGCACGAAGCCCCGCCGAGTCGGACACGCTCGGGGCGACCGCGGGTTTGAACCACGGGCGCGCCCGGCGTCGAGCCACTAGGCTTCTCCGGGAAAGCACCTTCGAGCGCTAGTTGAAGTCGCCCAAGTCCGTTCTCAGAAGCTATCACCCGTCGGCGTTCACCATGGCCAGAAAAAGTATCGCACAGCGCACGGGCGGAAAACTCCCCCAAATTTCGCCGCGTCGGTGAAGCATTGCAGGAAGACGCTATGAACCGTTAACTACGAGGTGCAACTGGGCGGATTGCGCCAAACGTCTCCGCTACCCTGCGCGCCGTGCATCTCCGTCCACAGGCCCACGTCGCGCGCGCGCATGAGGCGCTGGGATTTTCTGAAACGGCGCAGGGGGTCAGCCGCAAAGAGGGCCTGGCAATTCCATGCGACCACCGAACCCAGACCCCCGACGTCATGAGTTTTTCATGACGCCGACCCCCACAAGTCTCGACCCATTCCCCGGGACCGGCTTATCATCCTAAGTCGTTTTGTTGACGGTCCCGAGGCCTGGCGAAGGCCCCTGGAGGCCGAAAAAAGCGAAAAACCTCCCGTCATAATTTTGTCATGACTCGAGGGGGTCTGGGAGACGGCGCCCATGTAGGGGGTCCGATTCGCGCCTCGTTGCCGCCCCGAACCCACCGGCAAGCGCGGGAGGCGGCGGCGGCGCGCCCGCCGCGGGAGGGCCCGCTCCGAGCGCCGCCCGAAGCAAGAGCTGCAACCTCAGGGACGAACGAGAATCGATAGAGATGACTTTGGTGTCGCAACCTGAGCCGTCACCAAGGAGGGTATTTCTCTTTCTCTCTCTTTCTCTCCCTCTCTCTCTCTCTCTCTCTCTCTCTCTCCCCCCGCCCTCGATCTCTCTCTCTCTCTCTGTCGCTCTCTCTCTCTCTCTGGACAACTAGATAACTCCCGCACCCATTCAACCCTGCCGGCGCCGGTCTTCCGCGAAGAAAGCGGCGGCCACGCGGGTGGTCGTGGGAAGCTGGCCGAAGAAAATGAAACGGCATAGAAGGAAAGCGTGGGGCAGGGCTGTTAGATGAGGGTGCCCCGTAGTGTGAAAAGTTGGTCGATCGCGCAGCTGCACTAATAATCGTGCTTGAATGCTAGAATGAGGAGGGGATGCCGAAGAAAATGTTAAAGGGAGGAAGCGAGCATGCAACTGGCAAGGGCCGAGAGGACAAGGACACGGGAGAAGAGGAAAATGAAGTCGAACCAGAAGAGTGCTCACCAAAGCTGGGGGGGGCGCGGCACGAAATGCCCGGCCCGCCAGCCGGCGGGAGGAGTGAGAAGGCGACGTCCACGAACCAGCAGGATACGTCACCCCTGGTATAGCATTGAACTCCGCGGCCAAAGCCAACGTAAAATAAGTAAAAGATTGGCGGGGGACACGGCCCCCGGCCACCCCCGTCGCCCATTTCCTGGCACGCCGCGGGATACTGCCAGATCGTTGGATACCGTGATGCTCAGGTGGTCGGTGCCGACATGGAGTTTTTGCCTTTGCAGTGCGCGACAGACTTCATGGACCTCTTCTGCGGACTGCAAAAGGACACGCGCGGGCCCGCGAGGGGCCGCGGCGTCGATGGCCGTCACGTGGACCCACTGGCCTGGTAGAGAGGCCTTCCCAGGCGCTGCCGGGCTCATAGCCAGCCCCGTTTCCGAGGCAACTTGCCTCATTAAGGAGCCCAGCACCACGTGTTCATTGTCCCTGGTCTCACCATCGACGGTGACCTCAATGATGTTTTCCGTCATACCGCCCGGCCGCTGGGGCAGTTGGCGGCTACACCGGGAGGCACCAAGAGCAGCGGAAGTGGCGGAGGGCCAGGCCCACAGGCGGCCGCCGCGGCCGGGTTTCCACTTGATCTTGGTGATCACCTGCTCGGCGTCCTCCATGAGAAACTGGTCGAGGATGGACGTTTCCAGGACTCCGCCAAGGCCGAGGGCAAGATGATGACAGGAAGATTGCCTGCGAGCACAGAAGCCAGGCCACGTGGAGCAACAGAGGGCCACTGCATTCCAGAATCAGCGCGTCAAGGGACATGTAGAGGCCCCGATGCCAAATGAACATGCGCGAAGTCAGCACCGTGCGCAGCAGAAATGGGATGGCCATAACAAGGTTGGCTCGCTCGGCAAGAGCACCTCTCAGATTGTGTAATTGTGGAGAGAGGCGGTAAATTGTCGGAGGGACAAGGGGGAGGGGATGGGGAAGAGACGGCGAATAGAAAGGGGAGAAGGGAGAAGACGAACTCGGAAAGAAATACATCAGAAAGGACAATGGGGAAGGGAGGATGGGGAAGGGGGGGCGAGAGAGAAGGGGATCGTGGAGGAGGTAGAAGGCGGAAAACTGGAAGGGGGAGAGGGAGTGGATAAGGGGGAGCGGAGAGAAGGGAGGGGCGAACAGTGAAGCGCACGCGCCATGTATTACATCCTACCCCCCAACCCCGTCCTTTACCCCTTTACCATGTAGTTGAACCCCGTGCATTCGCAGCAGAATGGAATGTCGAAGAAGACATGGATGCCGAAAGGGCAACTCTCTCCAAGGGATGGAAGGGGCATGAAGGACGCGGAAGAGACCTGGGTATGGCGTGAAGGAGGCGGAAAGGTGGAGGAGGAAAGAGGACAGTTGACGGACGGAGCAGGAGGTCGGACTGAGGACGGCGACGAGAAAGGCAAGAAAGCACAGGGAGGATGGCGGAGGCAAAGGGTAAACGGGCGAGAGCGTCATTCCATTGGACGGAGACGCCATGGAAATCCTCTAACGTTGGAAACGCGTCAACGGGAGCATCACCCTTGCTGGTGCCAGAAATGGACAACAATGCGGTGAGATCGGCGCTCCGTTGGACTGGGGCTTCAAGGTGTTGTTTCATGTGGCCAGCGCTGCAGCCAGAGCACAAATTTTGAGGGGGGCGAATGCGCCCTGATTCAAAACCGCATATGATAGCACAATTCGGTAGGAAAAAAAGTTGTTGGCTTTGCGTGGGCAAAACATGCATGTTGAGCAACTGCGGGTTGAACAAAACGGACACGGGGAGATGGGAAAGGAAGAATGGGGAAGGAAAAAAAGGGAAGGGGGGAGAGCACGAAATATGAAAAAGAGGGTATGGAGAAACGGGGCAGGAACGAAAGGGAGAAAATAGAAGGAGGACGGGGCAAGGATGATGAAGAAGAGAGACAACAGAGAAGGGAAGAGGAGGAAGGATCGGAAGGGAAAGTGGGAGACGGGCACGGGGGAGAGAACGGGCGGGCGGGGACGGTAAAAAAAGGAGAAGGTCCGATGCGGTTGGCGGGGCGCAGTGGAGCGGGGTGAAGCCCATCACCGTGATCCTAGCGAAGCAGCCGAATTCGTGGCAGTGTCTCGAATGCCAGGCCTGTGCCAGCCTGCCTCAAGGGGAAAGGTGCGGCTTGCAGTTCCCCCACCGCCTGCGGGGCCATCGGGCCACCAGCCCAGAGCCTTCCGCGAGTACGAGAGCGCCATCACGAAGGTAGAGCACACCTGGGCACGCGCTTGGATTCCCGATGATGGCGCGAAAACAAAAAGCAAGGAAAGCGTCCTGGCGTGGGCTTATGAGAAGCACGCGGATGGGGGTACGCGTGCAGGCGAGTGATCCGCAGCTTTCCGTTCTGGTCCTCCTCCACAGTTACTCAATATGAATACACTCTCCTCCATCCCCTGATGGCGTGCGGAAGATAGCGGGCACCCCTCCGCGTACTGTTTTCTACACACAAGATTTCCCGGAATTGGGTTTTCGCTTGGGTTTTTTTTCAAAATGCTGCTCCCGCTGAGGCGCCGGCCTCATTTTCGGACTTCCGCTTGTTCCGAATCGTGCTCCCGCTGCAGCGTGGGCCTCATTTTCGGATTGGTGTTTTGCCTCCGTCGTTCAGGATGCGGTTCTCGCACCAGCGCGGGCCTCTTTCTCGCGCGCCCATCCGCCCGCCACCACCGCACCGCGCCCCGCCCCGCCCACCGCCACTTCCACCCACCAACGCACGCACGCACGCACGCACGCGCACCACCACCGCGCACCGCCACCACCACCCCACTACCCCACCCAACACCACCGCGCTACACCGCGTCACACCACATCACGCGCGCGCACACAGACACACACGCATGAACACACACACACACACACATACACACGCACACACACACACACACACACACACGCACACACACCACCACCACCGCCACCACCACCACCGCCATCACGCACGTACGCACCTGGCCCACCACCAAACCACCAAGTTGCCACACCACGTCACACCACAGCACACGCGCACACACGCACACACACACACACACACACCGCCACCACCACCACCACCACCACTACCACAACCACGCACACACGCACGCACGCACGCGCACCACCACCCACTACGCACGCGCGCGCAGAGCCACAGGTCCGCTACGACACGCGTCCGCGGATAGAGAAAATCAGCGCCATGGAAAGGGATGGGAGGGAGGAGTAGGACGCCAGATATGACGCGAGCGCACATAGCTTGTCCTAATTATCCTCCTCCTCCTCCTCCTCCCGCTCCTCGTCTTCCTCATCCTCCTCTTCCCTTCCCTACGACTGCAACTACGACTACAACTACGACTACGACTACAACAACTACGACTAAGCCTACCCGTTCTACTACTACTACTACTACTACTACTACTACTACTACTACTACTACTACTACTACTACTACTACTACTACTACTACTACTACTACTACGACTACTACGACTACTACTACTACTACTACTACTACTACTACTACTACTACTACTACTACTATTACTACTGCTACGACTACGACTACGACCACTACCACTACGCTACTACTACTACGACTTACTACTAACTACTACTACTACTACTACTACTACTACTACTACTACTACTACTACTACTACTACTACTACTACTACTACTACTACTACTACTAAACTACTACTACTAAACTACTACTACTACTACTACTACTAATAATAATAATAATAATAAACTACTACTACTACTACTACTACTACTACTACTACTACTACTACTACTACTACTACTACTACTACTACTACTACTACTACTACTACTACGACTACTACTGCTGATACGAAAAATAATTATCCTGGCGAAAGACCAACCATAAGCAATTGTTGGTAACGCGGTGTGGGTGCCGCTTTCGGTGGAGCTCCCTATGGGGCCACGAAACGCTGCCCTGGGTGGGGGAACCGCATGCGAACACCCCCACTGGGGCCTTCGGTGGAGCTCCCTAGGGGGCTACGAAACGCTGCCCTGGGTGGGGGAACCGCATGCGAACTGCGCCACTGGGGCCTTCGGTGGAGCTCCCGATGGTGCCACGAAACGCTGCCCTGGGGGGGGGAAGCGCATGCGAACTGCGCCACGGGGGCTTTCGGTGGAGCTCCCCATGGGGCACGAAGCGCTGCCCTGGGTGGGGGAACCGCATGCGAAAGCAGCCACTGGGGCCTCCGGTGGAGCTCCCTATGGGGCCACGAAACGCTGCCCTGGGTGGGGGAACCGCATGCGAGAACCCCCACTGGGGCCTTCGGTGGAGCTCCCTATGGGGGCCACGAAACGCTGCCCTGGGTGGGGGAACCGCATGCGAACACCCCCACTGGGGCCTTCGGTGGAGCTCCCTATGGGGCTACGAAACGCTGCCCTGGGTGGGGGAACCGCATGCGAACCCCCCACTGGGGCCTTCGGTGGAGCTCCCTATGGGGCCACGAAACGCTTCCCTGGGCGGGGGAACCGCATGCGAACACCCCCACTGGGGCCTTCGGTGGAGCTCCCTATGGGGCCACGAAACGCTGCCCTGGGTGGGGGAACCGCATGCGAACACCCCCACTGGGGCCTTCGGTGGAGCTCCCTATGGGGCTACGAAACGCTGCCCTGGGTGGGGGAACAGCATGCGAACACCCCCACTGGGGCCTTCGGTGGAGCTCCCTATGGGGCCACGAAACGCTGCCCTGGGTGGGGGAACCGCATGTGGACACCCCCACTGGGGCCTTCGGGGGAGCTCCCTATGGGGCCACGAAACGCTGCCCTGGGTGGGGGAACCGCATTGCGAACCACCCCCACTGGGGCCTTCGGGGGCTCCCTTATGGGGCCACGAAACGCTGCCCTGGGTGGGGAACCGCATGCGAACACCCCCATGGGGGCTCGGTGGAAGCTCCTGTCCTCTTCCAGGTAATGGGGATACGAAACGCTGCCCTGGGTGGGGGAACCGCATTGGAACACCCCCACTGGGGGCCTTCGGTGGAGCTCCCTATGGGCCACGAAACGCTGCCCTGGGTGGGGAACCGCATGACGAACACCCCACTGGGGCCTTTCGGTGGAGCTCCCTATGGGGCCACGAAACGCTGCCCTGGGTGGGGAAACCGCATGCGAACACCCCCACTGGGGCCTTCGGTGGAGCTCCCTATGGGGCTACGAAGCGCTGCCCTGGGTGGGGGAACCGCATGCGAACACCCCACTGGGGCCTTCGGTGGAGCTCCCTATGGGGCTACGAAACGCTGCCCTGGGTGGGGGAACCGCATGCGAACACCCCACTGGGGCATTCGGTGGGAGCTCGAGCTTCCCTATGGGGCACGAAACGCTGCCCTGGGTGGGGGAACCGCATTGCGAACACCCCAGGGGAGGAGGAGGAGGGGGAAGGAGGGAACGGCGGGGCACTCGTCTCTTCAAAACGAGAACCAACCAACCACAGGATGGTGGGAAAAACAAAGAACAATTAATTATCCTGGCGAAGGACCCAACCATAAGCAATTGTTGGTAACGCGTTGTGGGTGCCGCTTTCGGTGGGGCTCCATATGGGGCCACGAAGCGCTGCCTTGGATGGGGGAACCGCATGCGGACTGCGCCACCGGGGCGGGCCTTCGGTGGAGCTCCCTATGGGGCTACGAAACGCTGCCCTGGGTGGAGGAACCGCATGCGAACTGCGCCACTGGGGCCTTCGGTGGAGCTCCCTATGGTGCCACGAAACGCTGCCCTGGGTGGGGGAAGCGCATGCGAACTGCGCCACGGGGGCTTTCGGTGGAGCTCCCCATGGGGCCACGAAACGCTGCCCTGGGTAAGGGAACCGCATGCGAACACCCCCACTGGGGCCTTCGGTGGAGCCCCCTATGGGGCTACGAAACGCTGCCCTGGGTGGGGGAACCGCATGCGAACACCCCCACTGGGGCCTTCGGTGGAGCTCCCTATGGGGCCACGAAACGCTGCCCTGGGTGGGGAACCGCATGCGAACACCCCCACTGGGGCCTTCGGTGGAGCTCCCTATGGGGCCACGAAACGCTGCCCTGGGTGGGGGAACCGCATGCGAACACCCCCACTGGGGCCTTCGGTGGAGCTCCCTATGGGGCTACGAAACGCTGCCCTGGGTGGGGGAACCGCATGCGAACACCCCCACTGGGGCCTTCGGTGGAGCTCCCTATGGGGCCACGAAACGCTGCCCTGGGTGGGGGAACCGCATGCGAACATCCCACTGGGGCCTTCGGTGGAGCTCCCTATGGGGCTACGAAACGCTGCCCTGGGTGGGGGAACCGCATGCGAACACCCCCACTGGGGCCTTCGGTGGAGCTCCCTATGGGGCCACGAAACGCTGCCCTGGGTGGGGGAACCGCATGCGAACACCCCCACTGGGGCCTTCGGTGGAGCTCCCTATGGGGCTACGAAACGCTGCCCTGGGTGGGGGAACCGCATGCGAACACCCCCACTGGGGCCTTCGGTGGAGCTCCCTATGGGGCCACGAAACGCTGCCCTGGGTGGGGGAACCGCATGCGAACACCCCCACTGGGGCCTTCGGTGGAGCTCCCTATGGGGCCACGAAACGCTGCCCTGGGTGGGGGAACCGCATGCGAACACCCCCACTGGGGCCTTCGGTGGAGCTCCCTATGGGGCTACGAAACTCTGCCCTGGGTGGGGGAACCGCATGCGAACACCCCCACTGGGGCCTTCGGTGGAGCTCCCTATGGGGCCACGAAACGCTGCCCTGGGTGGGGGAACCGCATGCGAACACCCCCACTGGGGCCTTCGGTGGAGCTCCCTATGGGGCTACGAAACGCTGCCCTGGGTGGGGGAACCGCATGCGAACACCCCCACTGGGGCCTTCGGTGGAGCTCCCTATGGGGCCACGAAACGCTGCCCTGGGTGGGGGAACCGCATGCGAACACCCCCACTGGGGCCTTCGGTGGAGCTCCCTATGGGGCCACGAAACGCTGCCCTGGGTGGGGGAACCGCATGCGAACACCCCAGGAGGAGGAGGGAGGAGGAGGAAGGAGGAACGCGGGGCACCGTCTCTTCAAAACAAGGACCCAACACCACAGGATGGTTGGGAAAAACTAAGTAGCTTGGCGAAAGACCCAACCATACGCAGTTGTGACTACCGCAATTGTGAATAACATCTTCGCCCGCGCTCCCGATGTGGCCAAAACTTCCCGCCGGAGCCCGACATGCTCAGGGACGCGTTCGTGGCCGTCTTCGCGGGCGCCGACGACGACGACGACGGCGCCCCCCTGACCGACGAGCAGAAGGAGAGGGCTCTAAGAGCCATGAGGGAGGCTGCCACTGGGGCCTTCGGTGGAGCTCCTATGGGGCCACGATCCTCGTGAGGGGTGTGCCGAAATGGCCCGAGGCCGCCATGCGAACGCAGCCACTGGAGCCTTCGGTGGAGCTCCTATGGGGCCACGATCCTCGTGAGGGGTGTGCCAAAATGGCCCGAGCCGCCATGCGAACCCTGCCACTGGCGCCTTCCGTGGAGTTCCGTATGGGGCCACGATCTTCGTGAGGGGTGTGCCGAAATGGCCCGAAGCCGCCATACGAACCCTGCCATTGGCGCCTTCGGTGGAGGCCACGATCCTCGTGAGGGGTGCGCCACAATGGGGCGGGGCCGCCTTGCGAACGCCGCCACTGGGGCCTTCAGTGGAGCTCCCTATGGTGCCACGATCCTCGTGAGGGGTGCGCCGAAATGGGGCGGGGCCGTCATGCGAACGCTGCCACTGGGGCCTTCGGTGGAGCTCCCTATGGGGCCACGATCCTCGTGAGGGGTGCGCCAAAATGGGGCGGGCCGCCATGCGAACGCTGCCACTGGGGCCTTCGGTGGAGCTCCCTATGTGACCACGATCCTCGTGAGGGGTGCGCCAAAATGGGGCGGGGCCGCCATGCGAACGCTGCCACTGGGGCCTTCGGTGGAGCTCCCTATGGGGCCACGATCCTCGTGAGGGGTGTGCCGAAATGGGGCGGGACCGCCATGCGAACGCTGCCACTGGGGCCTTCGGTGGAGCTCCCTATGGGGCCACGATCCTCGTGAGGGGTGTGCCGAAATGGGGCGGGGCCGCCATGCGAACGCTGCCACCGGGGCCTTCGGTGGAGCTCCCTATGGGGCCACGATCCTCGTGAGGGGTGTGCCGAAATGGAGCGGGGCCGCCATGCGAACGCAGCCACTGGAGCCTTCAGTGGAGCTCCCTATAGGGCCACGAAACGCTGTACTGGGTGGGTGAAACGCAAGGAGGAGGGGGGAGGAGGGGGAGGAGGAGGAGAAGAGGAGACGCGGGCCACCGTCTCTTCAAAACGAGGACCCAACACCACAGGATGGTTGGGAAAAACAAGCAAAATTAGCCTGGCGAAAGACCCAACCATACGCAGTTGTGACTACCGCAATTGTGAATAACATCTTCGCCCGCGCTCCCGATGTGGCCACAACTTCCCGCCGGAGCCCGACATGCTCAGGGACGCGTTCGTGGCCGTCTTCGCGGGCGCCGACGACGACGAGGACGGCGCCCCCCCTGACCGAGGAGCAGAAGCAGGAGAGGGCTCTAAGAGCCATGAGGGAGGCTGCCACTGGGGCCTTCGGTGGAGCTCCTATGGGGCCACGATCCTCGTGAGGGGTGTGCCGAAATGGCCCGAGGCCGCCATGCGAACGCAGCCACTGGAGCCTTCGGTGGAGCTCCTATGGGGCCACGATCCTCGTGAGGGGTGTGCCGAAATGGCCCGAGCCGCCATGCGAACCCTGCCACTGGCGCCTTCGGTGGAGCTCCGTATGGGGCCACGATCTTCGTGAGGGGTGTGCCGAAATGGCCCGAGGCCGCCATGCGAACCCTGCCAGGCGCCTCGCCACGATCCTCGTGAGGGGTGCGAACGCGCCACGGGCCTTCAGTGGAGCTCCCTATGGGCCACGATCCTCGTGAGGGGTGCGCCGAAATGGGGCGGGGCCGCCATGCGAACGCTGCCACTGGGGCCTTCGGTGGAGCTCCCTATGGGCCACGATCCTCGTGAGGGGTGCGCCGAAATGGGCGGGGCCGCCATGCGAACGCTGCCACTGGGGCCTTCGGTGGAGCTCCCTATGGGGCCACGATCCTCGTGAGGGGTGCGCCAAATGGGGCGGGGCCGCCATGCGAACGCTGCCACTGGGGCCTTCGGTGGAGCTCCCTATGGGGGATCCTGTGAGGGGTGCGCCAAAATGGGGCGGGGCCGCCATGCGAACGCTGCCACTGGGGCCTTCGGTGGAGCTCCCTATGGGGCCACGATCCTCGTGAGGGGTGCGCCGAAATGGGGCGGGGCCGCCATGCGAACGCTGCCACCGGGGCCTTCGGTGGAGCTCCCTATGGGGCCACGATCCTCGTGAGGGGTGCCGAAATGGGGCGGGGCCGCCATGCGAACGCAGCCACTGGAGCCTTCAGTGGAGCTCCCTATGGGGCCACGAAACGCTGTACTGGGTGGGTGAAACGCAGGGAGGAGGGGGGAGGAGGGGGAGGAGGAGGAGAAGAGGAGACGCGGGCCACCGTCTCTTCAAAACGAGGACCCAACACCACAGGATGGTTGGGAAAAATAATACTACCACGAGTACCACTACTACCACGACTCGTTTTTCCCCAATCAGAGCTTGCCTCTGTAGGGGTCCTAGCGGATTCATATGGTCAGATTATGTTTGCCGCCGATTTTCGCCGCACGCCCGGGTGCCCGGGTGCCCGGGGGTGCCCGGGTGCCCAGGTGCCCGGGTGCCTGGGGTGCCTGGGTGCCCAGGTGCCCGAGTGCCCAGGTGCCCGGTTGCTCTATATAGCCCTATAGCCCTATAGCCCTGTAGCCCCCTATAGCCCCAATAGCCCTATAGCCAGCCCTATAGCCTTATAGCCCTATTGCCCTATAGCCCTACAGCCCAATAACCCTATAGCCCAATAGCCCTATAGCCCTATGGCCCTGTAGCCCTGTAGCCCCATAGCCCCATAGCCTTCTAGCCCTACAGCCTTATAGACCCAGAGCCCTAAAGCCATTAAAAGATTATGATTGGGAAATTTCTCTGGTATCATTATTACAACGACTAGTAGTAGTAGTAGTAGTAGCAGCAGCAGCAGCAGCAGTAGTAGTAGTAGTAGTAGAAGTAGTAGTAGTAGTAGTAGTAGTAGTAGTAGTAGTAGTAGTAGTAGTAGTAGTAGTAGTAGTAGTAGTAGTAGTAGTAGTAGTAGTAGTAGTAGTAGTAGTAGTAGTAGTAGTAGTAGTAGTAGTAGTAGTAGTAGTAGTAGTAGTAGTAGTAGTAGTAGTAGTAGTAGTAGTAGTAGTAGTAGTAGTAGTAGTACGTAGTAGTAGTAGTAGTAGCAGTAGCAGTAGTAGTAGTAGCAGTAGCAGTAGTAGTAGTAGTAGTAGTAGTAGTAGTAGTAGTAGTAGTAGTAGTAGTAGTAGTAGTAGAAGTAGTAGTAGTAGTAGTAGTAGTAGTAGTAGTATTCTAGCGATCAAACGTACCAGAAATGGTGATTTGGAAGTATTATGTATTTTGCGTGAGCTACAGTTACGTTGTTTGGCGGTGTTGATATCACAAGAATGGCTATTTGGCAAGATCCGCCAAGACACAGTAGTCAGGTTGATCCAAGGCGTTTGAATCTCGAGAACAATGTTTGGGCATGCTTCCGGGTCTTCAAACGGTTGTCTTCCAACAAGGCAGATCCCTCAATGGAAATGAACTGTTGTAGGGGCCTGCGAAGAGGGAGCTTGGAGGGAGAGTTCATTCCAACATCGTTGATGACTATTGGGTTTACACTGGTCCTCCTCCTCCTCCTCCGCCTCCTCCTCCTCGGACCTCCTCCTCCTCCTCCTCCTCCTCCTCCTCTTCCTCCTCCTCCTGCTCCTGCTCCTCCTCCTCCTCCTCCTCCTCCTCCTCCTTTTCTTCCTCCTCCCCCTCCTCCTGCCTCAGCCTCCACCCCCTGACCGTTGCATCCTGCCCCCTCCACTCTTTTCACGGCGACGACGGGCACGGCGGCGGGCGGGCGGCCACACCAGCAGCAGGTGCGCCGCAGGGTTGCGCGCTGGCCGGTCGCCGAGCGCGGCGCGCTCCGGGTCGGGTTCGCCCTGCGTCGGCTCTGGGCCTGCCACCGGTCGGGCGGTGGCGCGCGCCGCGCCGCCGCGTGGCCGCGGCAGCGGCGGCGGCGGCCTCCGAGCGGCGGCGGCGGCTATAAGGAGGAAGAAAAGAGCAGGGACGAGAACGATGAGAGAGGAGGGTGGGGACAAGGAAAAAGGAACGGCGGTGGCGGCAGCGGTGGCGGAAGGAGTGGCGGCAGCACGCCGCCAGTGGCTGCCGAGCGGCGGCAGGCAGGAGAAAAATTATCCTGGCGAATGACCTAACCATATGCAGTTGTGGGTACCGCAATTGTGAATATCTTCTTCGGTGAAGCTTCCAATTTGGCCACGAGCCACGAAGCGCTGCACTGGGTGCGGGGGAACACATGCGGGCGGTAAGTCTGAGGCCGTCGGTGGAGCTACCTATGGGGCCACGAAACGCTGTAGTGGGTGGGGGAGACGCATGCGGGCGGTAACACCGGGGCCTTCGGTGGAGCTCCGTAGGGGGCCACGAAACGCTGTAGTGGGTGGGTGGGACACATGCGGGCGGTAGCGCTGAAGCCGTCAGTGGAGCTTCCTACGGGGCCACGAAACGCTGTACTGGGTGGGGGGGACGCATGTGGGCGATAGCACCAGGGCCTTCGGTGGAGCTCCATATGGGGCCACGAAACGCTGTACTAGGTGTGGGGGACGCATGCCGGTGGAGCTCCCTATGGGGCCACGAAACGCTGTCATGGTGGGGGGGGAACGCATGCGGGCGGTAGTATTGGGGTTTTCGATGGAGCTCCCTATGGGGCCACGAAACGATGAGGGGTGTGCAGAAATTGGTGTGGGGGACCCATGCGGGCGGTGGCACTGGGGCCCTCGGTGGAGCTTCCTATGGGGCCACGAAACGTGCCACAGGTGTGCCGAAATGGGCGTGGAGGACGCACGCGGGCGGTGGCACTGGGGCCTTCGGTGGAGTTCCCTATGGGGACACGAAGCGCTGTGCTTGGTGGGTGGAAATGCCAAGTTAAGTTTTCGAGACGCACGCGGGCGGTCCCACTGGGGGGGGCTTCGGTGGAGTTCCTTATGGGACCACGAAACGCTGTACTGGGTGGGTGGGAATGCCAACTTGGGTGTGTGGGACGCATGCGGGCGGTCCCACTGGGGGCTTCGGTGGAGTTTCCTATGGGGCCACGAAACGCTGTATTGGGTAAGCGAAAATGCCAAATTATGTGTGTGCGTGTGTGTCGGACGCATGCGGGCGGTCCCACTGGGGGCTTTGGTGGAGCTCCCTATGGTGCCAAAAAGCGCTGTACTGGGTGGGTGGAAGAATGGGGCGTGCGGTCCCACTGGGGGCTTCGGTTGGGTTCCCTATGGGGCCACGAAACGCTCTACTGGGTGGGTGGGTGAAAATGCCAACTTGGGTGTATGGGACGCATGCGGGCGGTCCCACTGGAGGCTTCGGTGGAGCTCCCTATGGGGCCACGAAACGCTGTACTTGGTGGGTGGAAATGCCAAGTTAGGTTTTCGAGACGCACGCGGGCGGTCCCACTGGGGGCTTCGGTGGAGTTCCCTATGGGGCCACGAAACGCTGTACTGGGTGGGTGAAAATGCCAACTTGGGTGTGTGGGACGCATGCGGGCGGTCCCACTGGGGGCTTCGGTCGAGTTCCCTACGAAGCCACGAAACGCTGTATTGGACAAGTGAAAATGCAAAATTATGTGTGTGCGTGTGTGGGACGCATGTGGACGGTGGCACTGGGGCCTTCGGTGGAGCTGATGGAGGTGCGAATTGCAAACGGATTTAGCCGAAAAACAGTTTTGCGAAGCGTCGCACACTGCGACGCGCAGAAAATGGGTGCAGCGATGGGACTGCAACCCCAAAAGCGCGCAGCGGCAAGAACCCGAAGAGCACGCAAAACGTGCTCGACTCAAAGTGAAGCGAAGCGCGAACAATCTGGCACGCATTAAGACCCAAGAACCACCGACAGACGATGACCCAAAAAGCGCGCAACGGCCAGAACCCGAGCACGATAGCTCGACCAAGGAAACGAGAACGCCGGTACAATTTACAATATGTTGAGATGCCAAACCAGCCAAGTGGTGGGGCAATGCTGAGAGCTATGGCCCGGCGAACCGATGGGCATGGCCATGTCCTGCGAACTGGCGACGTAGGAGCAATAGCATGGGCGGGGCGCTAAACCTACAGGCCGCGGCCGCACCACAACAGCGCACACGACGTCAAGAACGCAACGCACGTGGACACACGCACAGGAGGGGTCGAAACCAACCAAATGAGACCACGCCGCGAATCCCGGTGAGAAGCCGCGCTGCCAAGGAACGCCAGCGTCAGCAACTCCCCCAGGCCGGCCGAGAAAGAACTGCAATAAAGCACCGACCAGCACCGACCGAGCAGCACAGATAATGACTAGGTGCACTATACGCACAGACGTTTAAGTTACCAAGAAATCTAGCAAAAACGCCCCGGAGAAAAGGAAACAGGAAGAAGAGAAGGAGAGGAAGCAGAAGAGGGCGCACCACGCCGGCAGAGACCGCCCGGCGAGCCGCGGGAGAGACTCAACCCCCGCGGCGGGGACGACCCGGAAGCAGGGAGGGGAATGAGAAAACAGGATAGGAGCAGGAGGGGGGCCCGGAAGGCCGACGGCGGGGGGCCCCGCGACGCGGACGAGCCCGCGACCGACGACGGCGACCGAACGAACCCCGCGACCTACAAGGAGGAGGAAAGGTAGCCGACGAGCCAGCGCGGGGGGGGGGGGGGGCGCCGCCGGAGCGCGGCAGGAACGCCACGCCCCCGAGAGGAAACATGACGCCACGGGGCCCGCGGCTGGGAGCGGCGGCAGCAAGGGCAAGTGAAAAACGGCGGAGCCACGGGCGACCGAGCGGCACGCGCCCAGAACGACGAATCGGCGACTGGATGGGCACAGCAGGCAACGCATCGGCGCGCGCCACGAGCGACTGATCGGCGCGCGACAAGCAAGCAGCGACAGATCAGTGCCTGTCCGATGCGCGGCCGCCCGACTCAGGAACAGCACCGCGGCGCCCAGCGCGCGCCGCGGAAAATCGCGCGGGAAGCTCGCGCCACGCAACCGCGGGCCCAGCGCGCTGCCGCCGCACTGTGCGCAGCGAGCTCTCCAAGTAACGTTGCCTGGGCCCCCCGCCCGCTCGACACGGGCCACGAGCCATTCCTTGGAGGCAACAGCCAAGCCAGCCAGGTGTCTGGCCGACTCCGGGCCCTCGCCCGCTTCGGCCCGCGCAGTCAGGCCTGCCATGGCTGGCGGGGCGCGAGTGCCAGCCGTCTGCCGCCCGCGCATTTGGTTGCGAGCACGGGAAATCGACCATGACCTGTCGCGGGGACATTTTTGGGCGAGCTCGCCCCTTCATTTTCTCTGTAGTCTGTAGCCCCAGGCGACATGATGACCCCGGCGTTCGCTAGTCCACGGGGAGTCAGCCCACGCCTTTTTGACCATCAGCCTGAGGACGCCACGCGCTAGACGGGCGAGACGAGGCCCGCCCATCGACGGCCCATCCGCAGCGGTCGCGCGGGCTATGACCAGCGGGCGACTGGTGGGAGACACGCGTCTGTCGCGCGCCGCTGCCTCGGCCGCCCGCAGCGACGGCCGCCAGTCTGCCATCCGCGACGCGGTCGGCAGGACAGCCGGCGCGGGGGGGCTCTGGACCTCCGCGGTCGGCAGACAGCCGACCTGGACCAGCAAGACGTCGGCGAGCTCGCCGGAGAGTCCGCGCCCGCCGGGGGGGGGATCGACGGAGGCGCCCTCAGCGGCCCGCCCGCCGTGGTTGTTGGACCAGATCGCTCGCAGGGCTCTCCCCGCCCCCGCGCGACCACCCGCCGCCGCGGCGCTCGACTAGGCCCACGCTGTCGCGGTCGGGCGACGCTGGCCGCGGCGGCGCTCAGCGGCCACCAGCTGCATGGCGCGGGGCAAGCTCGCCCTGCCCCTCCGGTTCAGGCACGCCGCCGTTGGGCAGCGATTGGCGGCATAACATGGAGAAGATTGGCGGCGCATCATTCAGAGGATCGGCGCACGCAGGATTGGCGGCCAGCTTCAGGAAGTCGCCGCCCTGTCCCTGCAACTCCTCGCCACCGTCCGCCGGACCCCCCCCGGCATCGCGGGGCGCCAGCATCGCGCTAACCGCCTCCTCGGAAACCCCCATCGACGCCCACCTCTGCGACCACGTCGACGGCCTCCTTCATCTCGACGGCCCCCTTCTCCTGCATGGCCACCCCCTTGTCTTCTCGCCATCTCAGCCCTTTGATTCATAAATCGCACAGGATGCGTGGCTAACCTGATAATCGGCCATGAGGGCATGCAGCATCAAAACCACTGTCTCATTGACCACGTCAGCATGGCGGCGCAGCGCAAGCCCGCCCTGCCCCCCGGGCCTGGGACACTATCGCTGGACAACGATCGGCGGCAGAACATCGACAAGATCCGCGGCGTCGCATCGAAAGGGTTAACGCGGGCGGGATAAGGGGGAAAATTCAGGGCGTCGCCGCCCTGCCCCCACACACGCGCGCCGCCTGCTGCCGCGATGCCGGCAGGGCCCCAGGAGGGAGCCCGACGCCGGCACTGCGCGGACCGCCTCCTCGACCCCCCCCCAGCGACGCCCACCTCCGCGACCCGTCGACGTCTCCGCGCACCCCCACGCCCTCCTCGACCGCGTCGCCACTGCCAGGGCCGGCAGGAACTGCCGACAATAACAGGTGATGGGTCGGAAGTGCTGCAACAGATGATGGGTCGGGAATCTTACCCACGCGTTGATTGGAGTGCCGCAGCAGACGATGGGTCGGGGATGCTCGGGCTCCAGCTTTACATCGGGCGTCTCGCTGAGCAGCGACAGGGCCAGCGGCCGCCGCCTCTGCCAGTTCGTCTCGCACGTGCCGATCGGAGCGCAGTCGCAGGCAATGGTGGGCTCCAGCTTCACCCCAAACATCTCGCCGAGCAGCGCGAGAGCCAGCTGTCACTGCCACTGCCCAGGGCTGATCAGGGCCCCTCCAGCGGACGAGG